ACTCACCCTAGTAGCGTGATTTTATGTAATCTAATCAGAAACGGTCAGCGGTACGAGATCGTCGGGGCTCGGGATGCAAGAGGGCTTCAGCAAATGGGAGAAAGGGAAGAAGTTCAGGTGTAGGAATAGCTGAAGTCGGACCTGCTATTTATAGTAAGATTTTTGGCCCTCACGTCGTGAGTTTTATAAGACTCGCGTCGTGAGTCATGGTTGGTCACCTCATAGACTTGCCATTTGCGTCCCTAGCTTCGGATGGTGTCCCTTTGACTCCTCACGACGTGAATCAATCCTTGCTCACGTCGTGAGTTTGGATCTTATCCCCTCGTAGCCTCGTCACACCTTCTAGATTCCGAGATGTGGCAAAATGACTCCTCACCTCGTGAACATCTATGCTCACCTCGTGAGTTCAGTCAGATTAGGGTTTCTGACAGCTGTATCTTCGGAAGGTCGTAACTTTTGCATACGAACTCCGTTTTTGACGTTCTTTATATCCACGCGTAGGTATTTACGAGCACTACAATTCTCTTTTAGACTCCAATAGATAATTCTAAGTCTATTTTTAATTCATCTTATTATAGAGATTTATAGTGTTCGGTTTATCATAACTTCTTCATGCGAAGTCAGATTCAGACGTTCTCTATATTTTTGGAATCGTATGGACGTATAATTTGAGTTGTATCATAAAGAAAGTTCATATTTGTATTAGAATTTATCATGAACTACATAGAACTCTTATCACATTACTAGTTTAACAAAATCACATTACATGATTGGCATAATCACATGTGATTGTCTATTGACCTATTTTGACTGGTGTTACAATTTGGCTCCTCTTGGATTTGGTGACTTTTTAGTTCTTAATGCTAGTTGACTTTCACTAATTACATGCTTAATGGAAATTGTGACTTTGACTAAGGAAATTGTTATGAGCTCCTCTAACCATTTTAGCAACTAAGAAAAGTCTAGGTAATCTCAAGCTTCTTGGATTACTATAGACAAATTAAGGATTTAATTCAAGTATTGCACCATTGGATTCTAATGATATGTTCATCAAAAGTCAAAGTGAGGAAACCTTAAGTCAACCATCCTTCTCTTATTGATTTTACATCAAACTCTTATTTTTGTTGAATTGTCTATTTAAATCTTAATTTAATTCTAGTTTTTTTCAAGTATTTCAAAAGACCAAACCCCCCATTTTTAATTTATTGTCATTTTACAAGTATTTTTACAAAGAGATTTTTCATAGAGTTATAAAATTGAACCAATCTCCGTGGATTCGATCCCTTTACCACTATACACTATTTTAGTGTGTAATATTTAGGGTTATTAATTTTGTTGGCCTCGACAACTACCATGAATATATGCAGATAATAACCATAAACAGTAATATTCATGTATGACTAATACACATTTATATTGATATGGTAAATTGAGATTTGAAATATATGTTCTTTTAAAATGAATATATCATATTTGTTTTTTAAACACGTTATATTAAATAAGTTATATTGACATGGTAAATTTATATGTGAAATACACATATTATTTGTAAATTATTCATAAATGAATACGATATGTGGATTCATTTATCATTGAAGATGTTATTATTTACATATTAAAGGTGAATGGATATACAATGTTGGTATTCAATTATGAATAAACTTAAATAAAATTGAAAACTAGCATAAATGAATACAAATATGTGAACTTTGTTATACTAATAAATAAGTTATATTCATATCTGAGCTCTTTTATGTTCATATCTGAACTTTGTTATTCTAACATATTATTCCTAACTTAATCATAAATGAATATATCATATTCGTATTCATTTATGAATAAACAGAAATAAACTTTGAAAATATTTGAATATAAAAAAATGACAGAAATAAGCAAACCTGTTTCTACTAATAAATAAGTTATATTCATATCTAAAATTTGTTATATTCATATATGAACTTTGTTATACTGACATATTACTCCTAACTTAATCATAAATGAATATATCATATTCGTATTCATTTATGAATAAATAGAAATAAACTTTGAAAATATTTGAATATAAAAAACTGACAGAAATAAGCAAAGTTGTTTCTATTACATAATCATTCAACACAAGATAATAAAACCTGTTCATAAGCATTTTACAAACTATTTAAACGATGTTCAATAACATTTAACAAACCATCTAAAACTTGTTTCTCAGAATCATCTTACATGTACTTCAAATTCATTCATATTCAACACAAACTGTTCTATACCATCACACTTCATCACAAGCAATCATCAATTTTCTTTTAACCTTTTTTGAATTGTTTGCATAGCCTTGTAGGCATGAGCAGTACACACTTTGAATTTAACTTTTTGATATTTTTCAGCAAGATCCAACACCTTAGCCTTCAACATGTTAATTTCAGAAGTTAGCATTCGGTGTGCATACCTTTGCCTGAGCTTCTCTAAAGTAGTTTGTTGAATTGCACTTTCTTTATGAAGACCTGGTTTCCACTTTGAGAGTGGTTGTCCCATATAGGTCTCCATATGTCTCATTGCAAAGACCCCACAATCAACTTTGTTTTTAACTGGTCTCCATGGCATTTCAAGTCGTTGGGGTGTGATACTTTCTTTTGAGATTGCATTTGCTCTTGGATGGTTTATTTCTTTCAAGTATCTCACAAACAAATTTTTCTGATCATTAAATAAAATAAAATTTAGATATGTAATAAATTGGTTCTTTTATGCTGTTGTGAATTGGGTACATACCAAAGGTTTCAATAGTACTTCGTATTTCCCTTCATAATCCCCCTCAAATGCACTGTTGTCCAGAATTTCAATTGATGGTTTCTTTAAGTTGAAGACAATCACAAAAATGTGAGCACTTCTAACAACTGGAAAGAATACCTGTTTTTATGTATATAATGGTAAGTATTTTGTTGACAAAATATATATATAAAAAAACAAGTTTAATTAACATACCATGTCAATATCTTTTATGTTCAAGATTTTTTTGTACCCATCGGTACTGTCATGAAAGTTCTCCTTGAATTTTTCATACTTTTTTTCATCAGACAATGTTGAAGTTAGATAAGCAGTCTGTAACCAATATAATTTTAAAGGATTAGTAAATTGTTAATCATAAATGAATACATCATGTTGGTATAATAATCATAAGTATATACTAAAGATATTTATTTTTGATTTTTTTTATTCAAAGACGAATACATAATCATATGTGAATTTCAGTTGAATATACATAATTATATTAACGAATACATCATATTGGTATAATCATATGTGAATTTCAGTTGTAAAAAAAATTTAATATTCATAAATGAATACATCATATTGGTGTATTTATTTATCAATAAAGTAAAAATTAAGGTTAGAACATAAACTTACAGAAACTCCAACTTTCAAGAAGAGTCTGTATGGTGAATTTCCAAAATCCCTTCCCAGTTCTTGGTGGTTAAGTAAATCAGCCCAAGTGTCTAAAACTTCTCCAAAAATCTCTGTGCTTGCATATAGACTTTCCATAATTGCTCTTTCTGTTATCTGACCATATTTTGTCTGGACAACCACATCTCTGCAAATATATAATCAAAATGTCATACATTATTATCTATATAATAATCATATATGAATGTCTATAAAATAAAGTTACTTACGATGTATTCCCTTGCAAGTTGAACAACTACTCACAAACAATACTCTCCTGATGTGTCATTTTAGGTTTTGTGTCTATTATTCTGCATTTGAAAGGTGATTTCAAAAGCATCGACAAGCTTCTTCTCTCTTAGTTCATCCAAATCATGCTTTGATGGTCCTACTTCAGTAGGAATTGCTACAGAGATTGGATTTGGATTAAGAACATTTTTGTTTGCTAATCTAATAACAACCTTTTGATGGTTGTCTTTGATTTATTTCTTTGTAAGTGGTTTTTTTGGTGAAGATTCATTAGATTTTTTACTTGAAGTTTGATATGAATCTTGACTGAGACCTAGACTACAGCTTGGATGAGTATCTGCATGCTAGGAGATTTATCATATATATAGTTGTAAGTTAATTATAATATTTTTTTATATTTTGAAATGTTTTTCCAAATTGTTACCTCATTCATTTCCTTTTGTCTTGTCAGCTTTTTCTCCTTTTTTGTTTTCATTTTCTGACTTTTTCTTTCCTGAAAGATAAAGAACTTTGATTAAGTAATTCATTTGTGAATAAGTAATGTATTCATTTATGAATAAGTAATGCATATCATTATTTATGAATAAGTAATACTATATTTTTTTATTTATTCGTATATTGTGTTATTCATTTGTGAATAATAAAACTTATTATATTCATTTATTAGTGAATCAACTATTTACCTCTATCTTCTGCATTTCCTTTCTCAATTTATGTTTGTTTATCTGCACCTCCATCTTTCGTGTTCTTAGCTTCTGCTCCTCCTTTATTTCCATGTTCAAAGTTTTCCTTGCCTGAAACATATACATCATATATGAATATTTTATATTTTTTACTCATTTATATAGTGTATTATTCACTTATGAATAAACAACGTTATTAAAAAAATCAATATAAATATTGTAATATATTTTAAATCATTCATTTACCTGTATCATCTCCCTTTGTTTTTTCAACTTCTTTTCCTTGTTTATGTACACCTTCTGATTTTCCATTTTCTGTAAGATCCATTTAATGTTATATATTAAATATAATTAATGAATGAATTAGTGAATAAATAATAAGTTGATAGTAACATACCTTGAATAACTTGACTGATCAGAGTATTAGTTTTACTTCTAGTCATTGGTGACCTTGGTCAAAATTTAATAAACAAAATTGTTATTGTGTATTAATATTTATATATATATATATATATATATATATATATATATATATATATATATTTAAAATAAAAGTAAGTCAAAATTTACCTATATCAATATTATCCAAAATAGTTTTCATTTCAGGGTCATTCCAGATTTCATCTTCTTGACTATTTAAACTTGAAAATCCAATTCCAAGGACATTATCCACAATGTTGTCAACAACTTTATCCAACAAATTTTCATTTTCAGTTTGTTGAATAATCTCTTCATGATTATTTGTTTCTTCAACATCATCATCTTTTTTTCTTCATCATTGTCATTTTCATTGTTCTTTCCATCTTTCTCTTTTACTTCAGTTTCACCTTCTTTTTTATTCTTATCTCCATCATTCTTTATTCCTTCATTCTCTGCTTCATTTGAATCAAGCAAATAATCTACTTCCGGTTGACTTTCATCATTATCATTGTCTTCTTCACCATTTCCCTATTTATCTTCATTTTCTTTTTGATCATTTGTTTTTTGACCCATTATTGGTATCAAATTGATTCCTTCAGCTCCAGTTTCATTATTTGGAATTTCAAAAAGTGTTGTGCTTTCAGTTTTTTCTTCAACAATTATATTTGTCATCTTTTCTTTGAAAATCCTAAAACTTTCATTTTCAGGGAACTTTGTTATCGCATCATTGAGTTTTGAATTCAGCTTTTCCTTCATCCTCTCAAAACTATTAAGCATTTTTTATATTTTTGATTCATATGCCTATGTAATAAAAAGAAGTATGATTAGAATTTAATATAATAATTTAATGTAGTCATACCTCAACAGAATGATCTTCATCTTTATCAGAATCACTGTCTTCGAGATCTGTATCTCCTTCATCTTGTTCATTAACAAATTCTTCATTTAATTCTCCAAGTCCAAATCTACATTCTTCTTGTTCAAATGTCTCTCGATATCTAATCTTCTCTAAACTCCAATAACAAATTGTTGGACATTTACGTGTTACCGTTAAATCTTCTGAGTGGATGTTATCAGCATAGAACAACTGCACATAAATGATAACTAATTGATATTTATATATGAATAAGTAATTCAAACCATTACTTATTCATATATGAATATATATATATATATATATATATATAATATATATATATATATTCATATATGAACAAGTAATATTATTTTTTACTTATTTATATATGAATAAGTAATTTAAAGCATTACATGTGAACAAGTATATTTTTATTATTCATATATGAATATGTGCTATTCAGTTATGAATAATTAATATTATTAAAAATTGAGTATAAACATTATAATAACTTATCACCAAGAAAGCTGAAGGTCCAACAAAGTAGCTGTTATCTGAGTATGGTATGTATGAGTTCTTTGTTCTGACAAGACAGTCCAAAACATCGTTGCACCAGTCTATGTTGCTGATATCTATTTTTCTTGAAATACAACCCAAAGGAAACATGTTTCATCTTCCCATTGATGTTGACTCACAAAACGTGTTGACAAAAAGAACTAAGAAGTTCAATTTGAAATTGAAATCAGCTTCTGTGGTACTAACAATAACTTTTTTGATCGCATTCAATCAGATGATTGATCATTCTTGAAACTGTTGATTCCATTCATCATAACTAGTATCATCTTTAGGCCATTGATCCAGTTGTGTAAGTATGGTTCCACCTTTTGGAATGCCCAACATGTCATGACCAAACTGTGTTGTTACTTTCAGTTCCTTTCCTTCAATATCTATCAACATTCTCTCAGAATCAAATTTTTGAAGAATATAAAATCCCAGCTTTGGTGGTATATCTGTGATTTTCATTTTTAGCAAACTTCCAAAACCCATAGATCTTACACATTCTTTTTGTTTTTTGCTCAACCCAAGGATTATAGATAGTAATGAGTCTGGTGAACATCTGTTTTCATCGAGTAAAATTCCTTTACCATTGGTTTTTTTCCCTTTCTTGATTGGCGACTCCTTTTTTTTTTTTTGCCTTCTTTGATGGACGACTACTTTTAAAATCAGAGTCTGAATCATGTAGTTGTCGTTTTTCAGGAGTTTTCCTTTTTGATGGACTTTTTCTGCTTTGATGCTTTCTTTTCTTTGGTGTTTTTGTTTCTTTTTTTATCTGGGATTTGAAAACATATAATATTTGAATAAGTTATTGATATATGAATATGATATATGCTAGTTGATTTATTAATATTTATTTATTACAAAAATATAACTAAGATATACAATTTTATTCATATATGAATATATTAGTTATGATAGGAATTTTGTACCTTTCGCATTTTTCCTCTTCAAATCTGTTTCTATCATTGTTGTGGGGTCTTTATCAGAAATAAAAATCTTCTTACCTTCATGAATTAGTGAGTAGAAGATAAATAATTTTGAAATACATTTTACAAAGAAAATATTTTATATTCATAAATGAATAAATGAACATAACAGTTATATATATATATATATATATATATATATATATATATATATATATATAATTTGAAGATACTGAAGATCAATCACAAATTTCAAAAGAAAAATGTTCCAAAACAAAACAACATAGATGTATGAATAATTGTTTCCATTCATATATGATTAGCTTTTGAATACAAACAAAGCTAAGCCATATACAATTATTATTATATGAATACAGGAATTCAATAGTTATTTTTTATTATAAAACATATCTAGATTGTGATTGGATTATTCATATGTTAATAGAAGAAAATTATAGCCGGGATATATAAGTTATTCATAAATGAATATAACAGATGTATCCATATTTATATATTCACATGTGAATATATATATATAGATATATATATATATATATATATATATATATATATATATATTATATATATATATATATATATATATATATATATTGTTGTAAATAATTGGTGGTGTTGTAAATAATTGGTGGATGACAAAATAATTGGTGCATGGTAAATTTGTCAACATTTCTAACTAGTTACAATTATATGTTAGTAAAATTTGTAGTATAAATACACCTCCATTGTAAAGAATGTGATACACCAAAAACTTATAAGAGATATAACTTTCATATTCTCTCTAAATATTCTTTCTTCTCAATTAAAGTTCTTATCAAAGTTTACTAGTTTGGTTTGATTTATAGTTACATTAATTACGCTTAATTCATAACACGTTATCAGCACGAAAGCTCTAATCAAGGTTATTAAACAAGTGGAAAATCACATCTATCTTAATCAAGGTATGTATTACTTATTAAAAACACTATTAATTATAAAAACCTCAATCATATTAAAATAATAATAATACTAATGAATTAATGAAACTTATACATTATGGACATTATGGACTACTAACAATTTTTATTTCTTATACTAACATTTCTTTATGTATTCTAATTTTTTATACTAACATTTACATTATGTAACTAACTTTTATTTATGCATACTAACATTTATATTATGCTACTAACTTTTATTTGTGCATACTAACATTTAAATTATATTTATTTATACATGTCAATGTTTATTTATATTTTAGATACTCTTCATAATTTTATTTAAACATTTACTAATATTTATTTATGTTTCTACTTAGTAAAGTTATGTATTAGTTATAAGTCTTATTACATGATTTATAAAATACATATACATATATACACAACGGGAATATATATGCAACGGTTATAAACAGCAAAAACAACGGCTATATTTTTTTTACCATAAATAAACATCTTTACCCTGCTTATTTTACCCACAACAAATATTTCTCTCTTCTATCAAATAAATCAATTTTAAGAAATAAAGCTTCAAGATGATTCATCATTTTGTGATAATCATGACTATAATAGTCATGTTACTTTTCATCCCAATCCTTAACATCGAAGATAATATGGAATTTCATCTACTTTTAGGCTTGTATGCAATGTTAGCTTTACCGCTTCTTTTTTGTGTAATATTTATTGAAATAAATGGATTTTAATTTTAATTTTAATTTTGTTTAAAATTTATAGTTACATTATGTCCAACATTGCAAAGCTCGAGTTTGCAGCACTTGAAGTTAGTGGGAAAAACTATGTGCCATGGATGATAGATGTAAAAATACATCTTGAATCCATGGGTATCTCAAATACTATATATGAATTTAATAATTGTTTGGCACAAGACAAAGCAAAAGCACAAGTTTTCCTTTGTAAGCATATTGATGAAATGTTGAGATTTGAATATCTTGATGTTACTGATCCAAGTATTCTCTGGAATCTTTTGAAAGAAAGATTTGATCATCAAAAGGAAGTTATACTTCCAAATTCTAGATATGAATGGAGAACACTAAGGTTTCAAGACTTCAAGAAAGTAAATGAATACAACTCAGCTTTGTTCAGAATATGTTCACAACTCAAGTATTGTGGACAAGAGGTTACTGATGAAGATATGTTGGAGAAAACTTACTCAACATTTCATGCAACAAACATTACCTTGATGCAACAATATCGGATGCAAAAGTTCACAAGATATTCTGAACTAAATGCATGTCTGCTCGTTGCAGAGCAAAACAATGAACTCTTGATGAAAAACCATGAATCTCGTCCAACGGGATCAGTAGCACTTCCTGAAGCAAATGCTACAAATATTGTTGGTCATCGAAATAATACACGTAGATGAGGGCGAGGTCGTGGTCGAGGACGAGGCCGTGGCTATTTTAATCGCAACCAAAGCCATAATCAGAACCATAATTCTGGTCGTGGACAAGGTAATAATCGTGGTCGTAGCCAGAAAAGGAATAATTACCAATATTCACAAAGAAACAATGTCCACACAAAAGATAAGGCCAAAGTGGCAAGGCATGACGGACATCACAAAAATTTGATGGTTCATTTTATAGATGTGGTAGCACAGGCCATTGGTCAAGGACCTGTCGCACACCTGCACATCTTTGTCAACTTTATTAAGAGTCCATTAAAGGAAAAGGAAAAGAAGCAAACCTCATTGATGATGTTGAATTCACTCCGCTGAATGTTGCTGATTTCTGTAATGACATGGAAGACATAAACTATAAAAAAATCTATTATTGTTCTAGTAAAACTGTTTTTCCTTCGTTTGTTTTTCATGTAATGTCTTTCCTACAATAAATGAACTTTCTTTTTAATAATAATTATGATTATGTTTATTCACTTATTATTCCTTTTATATGTGAAGTTTAATATGAGTCCAACTGGAGCACAACACCAAGAAAAGATTGGAGATCTTTGTATAGCAGATAGTGGTAGTACACATACTATTCTGAAATCAAAGAAATATTTTTCAGAATTAGTACCAACAAAAATAGTCATACATACAATATCAGGTCTTGCAGACTTGAAAGAGGGAACCGGGAAAGCCCATTTTATATTACCAAATGGTACAAGCTTTTTTTTATAGAAAATTCCTTATTTTCTCCAAAGTCTAATAGTAACTTATTAAGTTTCAATGACATATATTTCAAAGGTTATGACACAAAAACTGTGACCATTGAAAATAATAAATATATGTATATTATAGACAAAAACCATGTGCTTGAAAAACTACCAACACTTGATTCTGGTCTGCATTATACATATATACATATGATTGAATCAAATATGGTAGTCGAAGGAAAACATTGTGATCCTGGGACATTCAGTTTATGGCAAGATAGGTTGGGCCACCCAGGATTAACAATGATGCGAAGGATAATTGAGAATACACATGGACATCCATTGAAGGACCAAAAGTTCCCTCAATCCAATAGCATAAAACCATGTACATCTTCTTCCCTTGGAAAGTTAATTATAAAACATTCTCCAATGAAAGTTGAAAGGGAGTCACCTAGATTTCTAGAAAGAATTCAAGGTGATATATGTGGACCGATTCACCCACCATCTGGACCATTTAGATACTTTATGGTCTTAATAGATGCATCCAGCAAATGGTCTCATGTTTGCCTATTATCAACTCGTAATATGGCATTTGCAAAGTTTCTTGCCCAAATTATTAAATTAAGGGCACATTTCCCTGATTATACTATCAAAAGAGTGAGACTTGATAATACTGGTGAATTTACTTCACAAGCATTTAATGACTATTGTATGCCTGTATGAATTATTGTTGAGCATCCAGTTGCTCGTGTACACACACAAAATGGTTTAGCTGAATCACTGATTAAACGTCTCCAGCTAATAGCTAGACCATTGATAATGAGGATCAAACTTCCTGTTTCTGTTTGGGGCCATGCAATCTTACATGCTGGATCATTGATACGCATGAGACCAAGTTCATATCATGTATATTCTCCACTACAACTTGCTTTTGGTCAAGAGCCAAATATATCCCATTTGAGAATTTTTGGGTGTGCAGTATATGTCCATATTGCACCACCTCAACGGACAAAAATGGGTCCTCAAAGAAGGTTGGGAATATATGTTGGTTATGAGTCAGTCTCTATTATAAGATATCTTGAACCATTAACAGGCGATGTTTTCACAGCACGCCTAGCAGATTGTCAATTTGATGAGGCAAATTTCCCATCATTAGGTGGAGAAAAGAAGATTCTGGAAAAGGATGTGTCATGGCATGAGCCTTCTTTATCATATCTTGACCATCGCACAAAGCAATGTGACATGGAATTTCAAAAGATAATGCATTTCCAAGAAATGGCAAATCAATTACCTGATGTATTTACTAACACAAAAAGGGTGACTAAATCATATATACCAGCTGTCAATGTTCCAGCTCGAATTGACATTCCACATGGACAATCTGATGATAAAGTCACTCAAGAGTCTAAAACACGCCTGAAGCGTGGAAGGCCATTTGGTTCTAAGGATAAGAACCCACGAAAAAGAAGAGGAGCAGAAAATGCATTAGATCACGAGGAAAGTGTTCCTGGAGAAACACGAATTATTCAAATTCCCCCAGGAAAGGAGGATGATGCACTAAATTATGGCCAGAGAAATAGAATATGTGACCAAAATGAAACTGACAATATAGGTGCAATATTTTCTTATTCAGTTGCATGTGATATTATGAATGATGATCCCGAACCACAATTTGTCATTGAATGTCAAAGAAGAAATGATTGGGCTAAATGGAAGGAAGCTATGCAAGTTGAATTAAATTCTCTTAACAAGAGAAAGGTTTTTGGGAACATTATCCTCACACCTGAAGTTGTGAAACCATTAGGATATAGATGGATCTTCGTACGAAAAAGAAATGAGAAAGACGAAATTGTAAGATACAAGGCCATGCTTGTTGCTCAAGGTTTCTCTCAAAGACCTGGAATTGATTATGAATAAACTTATTTACTGGTAATGGATGCAACCACTTTCAGATATTTAATCAGCTTGGCAGTATCTAAAAATTTAGAGATGCGTCTTATGGATGTTGTTACAGCTTACTTGTATGGATCACTTGATAGTGATATCTATATGAAAATCCCTGATGGATATAAAATGCCTGAAGCGTTAAGTGCAAAACCCAAAGAAATGTATTCTATAAAATTACAAAGATCTTTGTATGGGTTAAAGCAATCTGGGCGCATGTGGTACAATCGTTTAAGCGATTATTTGACAAGTAAAGGTTATAAAAATAACACTATTTGTCCATGTGTATTTATTAACAAAACAACATCTGGATATGTGATCATAGCAGTCTATGTTGATGATCTAAACATCATTGGAACGAATAAAGAAATCCTTGAAGTGATTGAACTTTTTAAGAAAGAATTTGAAATGAAAGATCTTGGAAAAACCAAATATTGTCTTGGTTTACAGATTGAGCATATGCCTAACGGAATACTTGTGCATCAATCAAATTACACAGAAAGAGTCTTGAAACATTTCAATATGGAAAATGCAAATCCTTTAAGCACTCTAATGGTTGTTAGATCATTAAATATTGACAAGGATCCATTACGTCCATGCGAAGAAAATGAAGAAGTCCTTGGTTCAGAAGTACCATATCTAAATGCAATTGGAGCTCTTATGTATCTTACCAATTGTACTAGACCTGACATTTCTTTCGCTGTAAACTTGCTAGCAAGATTTAGTTCAGCCCCAACAAAAAGACATTGGAATGGAATCAAACATATTTTTCGATACCTTCGAGGAACTAGTGATTTAGGGTTATTTTACCCTAACAATTCAAAACAAGGCTTGATTGGTTATGTAGATGCAGGTTATTTGTCTGATCCTCATAAAGCTAGATCTCAAACTGGATACGGATTCATGGATGGAGGTACTACAATTTCCTGGCGTTCTCAAAAACAAACACTTGTTGCCACATCCTCAAATCATGCTGAAGTAATTGCACTAAATGAAGCTAGTAGAGAATGTACATGGTTAAGATCGATGACACAACTAGTTTTAACTTCATGTGGACTTGAAAAGGATATATGTCCACCTTTAATTTATGAAGATAACTCAGCATGTGTCACTCAAATGAAAGAGGGATATATCAAGAGCGACAGGACAAAACATATACCTCCAAAGTTTTTTGAGTACACTCAAGAGCTTATAAAGAACCATCAAGTTGAAATCAAATATGTTCAATCCAGTAACAATGCAGCAGACCTTTTTACGAAGGCACTTCCTACTGCAATCTTCAGGAAACATGTCCATGGCATCAGAATGCGACATGTACATAGAATATAATGTGACAGATATCTAAATAAGGGGGAGTCAACTATACATTGCACTCTTTTTCCCTTCGCTAAAGGTTTTTTTCCCACTGGGTTTTCTTTAGCAAGGTTTTTAATGAGGCAGTACGTCAAAGTTGAACGCTAAAATGATGTCATCCAAGGGGGAGTGTTGTAAATAATTGGTGGCGGTGTAAATAATTGGTGGATGACATAATAATTGGTGCATGGTAAATTTGTCAACATTTCTAACTAGTTACAATTATATGTTAGTAAAATTTGTAGTATAAATACCCCTCCATTGTAAAGAATGTGATACACCAAAAAGTTATAAGAGATATAATTTTCATATTCTCTCTAAATATTCTTTCTTCTTAATTAAAGTTCTTATCAAAGTTTACTAGTTTGGTTTGATTTATAGTTACATTAATTACGCTTAATTCATAACATATATATATATATATATATATATATATATACATATATATAATATATATATATATATCTATATATATATATATTATATATAATATATATATATATATATATATCTATATATATATATATATATATATATATGTTATATTCATATGTGAAGATACTAAAGATCAATCACCAATTTCAAAAGAAAAATGTTCCAAAACAAAACAACATAAATATATGAATACTTGTTTCCATTCACATATGATTAGCTTTTGAATACAAACAAAGCTAAGCCATATATTTATTCATATATGAATACAATAATTCAATAGTTTTTTTTTATATAAAACATATACAGATTGAATTATTCATATGTTAATAGAAGAAAATTATAGGTGGGATACACAAGTTATTTATAAATTATAGCAGGGATATAAAAGATATGATATGTATTTTATACCTTTTTGATTTTTCTGCATTGATCGTGTTTCTCTCATTGTTGGTGAATCTTTATCGGAAATGTTAGTCTTCTTACCTCCATTCAATAGTGAGTAGAAGATAAATGAGTTTGATATTCACAAATGAAATTTTGAATAAAACATATATATTCATTTTTTTCACATATGAATATGTATGTTATATTCATACGTGAATAAAACATATATAAATAATTTTTTTTGTATTCATATTTGAATAATGTATATATGATAGCAAATTATGTTCTATTCATATGTGAATATAACATACATATTCACAAATGAATATTTGAATAAAACATATATATTCATATTTTTTATTCACATATGAATATGTATGTTATATTCATATGTGAATAGAAGATATATAAGTAATTTTTGTTGTATTCATATTTGAATAATGTATATATGACAACAAATTATGTGTATTCATATGTAAATATAACATACATATTCACAAATGAATATTTGAATAAAACATATATATTCATATTTTTTATTCACATATGAATATGTATGTTATATTCATATGTGAATAGAACATATATAAGTCATTTTTGTTGTATTCATATTTGAATAATGTATATATGACATAAAATTATGTTATATTCATATTTGAATATAACATATATAATTTAGTTTTGTTTGTGTTCAGAAATAAACAAAACATATCAAAACAAAATTATCTTCAATATGTTCATTTTCTGTTGTATTTTAAAGTAAAATCTCATCTAAATGTTGGCAATCACTTATGAATAAAGTTAATCAGATCTAAATGGAATACATATTTTATTTACCTTTTTGATTTGTTTTTGTTTTTCGTTTATATGTATGCTTCACTGTTGGTGTTGTTTCTGTAAGGGTAAGTAGTTAATATTAGGAAAACATAAGCGAAATGTGAAGTAACGTTTATATTTTGACAGAAAAATTGTGAATAAGTATGAAAAATGAAGAGAAGATGTAAAATAATTTATATATCAACTAATAATGGATGATTCTTACAAAAATTTCAAGTAAATCAAGCAATAACAAAAGAGGGTTACGAGGATGAACGATTATCACAATATTTGAAGTAAACAACCTACTTTGAAGAATGAACAGTGTGAATACAAAATTTTTAGTTCTAAATCAACTAAATCAAGTAATCAAGTGATAATTTTAGAAATGATTAGAAATCGTTAAAAATTGAAGAAAAAATGCTGATGGTTACCTTTCATAGTCAAGGGTGAGGAAATAGTTTCGTTCATGTTTTCATCGGAAGACATTTTTCTTCGTTTTCTTCTTATCGATGTTGAGAATCCTTTATGTTATTGAATCTTTTTGCAAATGGTTTTCATGTTATGGGGTATCGAAGAGGGAAATGATGGTTTTCTGTCGAGATTTGATGTGTGACGAAATTACTGAAGTGCCCTAACGGTTTAATGTTTTTGGATTATTTACAAATTTGTCACCGCTTATTAATGTATTTGAATTATTTACAAGTTTGCCACCGCGCGTTTTTTAAGCTCATTAAATGATTGGCTGAGAATGGTTCCCCCATTCTCAACTTTTTTTTTCTAAATTGAACCATCCTCTCTCTCTCTCTCTATATATATATATATATATATATATATATATATATATATATATATATATATATATATATATATATATATTATATATATATATATATATAAAAGTAGGTTTCTCTGATTTCATTAATATTAAATAGTTAAAAATTGATATAAAATTATGAATGAATTTCAGGAATAGTTATAAATGATATAAGATTATCATATTTTCAGGAATAATCTATATTTTCAAACGAATTTAATAAAAAAAAAAAGAAAAAAAAACCTTAAAACTTATCTTTTTATTATAGCTTTTCTTTAAAACGTCTAAAATATAATTCGGTGGCATATGTGGCACATACTAAAAACTCATAACTACAACAATAGAAATGATGACGACAGAAATGAAAAACAAAAGTCGGGCTAAACTAAATGTTGTAGTGTCGTAGAGGACTTCAACATTCTATTCCAACCAAAATATGTTGGTATATATAAAAAATAGAAATACTATTTTTAACAACATAATAATTTACTCTAGTCAATCTTTTATCTTTTTAACCAAATTATTAATTTTATCGTTTAACTTGTTAAAGACAGGAAAAATACTTAGGTAATTATCTATTCATTTTGTTTATATTTAGACAAAAAATTATATACGATTGACCAATTTATTTGTTAAAAATGTTCAAATGTTATCTTAGTGACCAACTATTTTAGGTTATAACTTATTTGACATATATTTGATATCTACGTGACAAATTAAAATGAGAAAATGACTTGGGAGGATAATTATCTATATGTTTTGTTCATATTCAAGGATATATATATATATATATATATATATATATATATATATATATATATATATATATAGACTTGGAGAATTTGTGGCTGTTATGTATCTAACATTACATATAGAACCATCAAAAACTACATAATTTTAACAAAATTTAATCAAATATCTCTACCATATTTCTTGTATCCTCTATTAGAGCTTATATTAGACTTTGTATATATTTTTTATAGGGTTTTATAAGCTTAATTTTGCACCACAAATCGTGTATAAGCATATTTTATCAACTACATGTAGTTTGGTATATTGAAACTTATTATAGAAAACTATAGTGAAAGATTGAAATTGTTCATTAAAAACTCGATAAACCTCTTCCCATAATCCATCAAAGAAAAAAAAACAATGCAAGTATACATAAAGTAGGTGTCAGAGAAAGTTATGAAGCTTCTACTAGATGTATAATAAAAACGCATTCGAAATACATAGATGTTGGGGATGAATTACGAAATAAAAAATAATATGAGTTCAAAAGCAATAGGAAGAAGCTAACAGTGAAAGAAAATTATGTTTTTTAATCAAAATAAAGTCAATTTAGATGGTTCTATACTTAATATTACATACATGACAGCCACATATTCACTTATATATATATATATATATATATATATATATATATATATATATATACATGGACGGTTCACTTGAGATGCTAAAAAATAAAGATATTGAGATTTAACTTCAACCATATATTTTTCATTTGTTGTTCTAACTTTCCAACGTACCAGCAGCAACATGGTATGCCTTATCATTAATGATTATATGGCGGAGAGGTATAATCATATATGATTATACACAGGGCCGATCTAAAGATATAATGGACCCATGGCGAAATGAAAAAAATGGGCCCCTAAAGTCGAAAATAGACAAATCGTTATAAAATTCACTATTAATATTAAAAAGAAAAAATATGGTCACAACATTACAAAAACAATTAAATTAAAGAAAAATATTTTTCTTAGTATTTTTAGATAAGTTGATTTTTTTCTCTTTATATATACCATATATTCTAGGAATTTTGGGCCCCTTAGAAACATGGGTTACCGTTTGGGCCGGGTCTGATTATACATGTTTATACATATATGTCTTTCATATATGTTTGTTCAGAAAGTGTTTAATCATATATGATTATGGTGGTTGGGGGAGGGGGTAGGGGTTGTATAGTTAACAGATGTGGCAATAATGTGATTGGGTGGTTGCAGTGAAGGGGTGGTGGTGACGGTTGCGGTTGTGGTGGTAGAGAAGGCGATGGATGAAAAAGGAACGGCTGATGCTGCATAATCATTTATGATTATAAACTCTTCGGCTGTACTGGTACACCGAAGGGTTAGAACGACAAATGAAAAATATATGGTTGGGTTGAATCTCAAGATCTATATTTTTTTTATAATATGAAGGGAACCTACATCTCTCTCTATCTCTCTCTTTCTTTATATATATATATATATATATATATATATATATATATATATATATATATATATATATATAGACACACACATACAATTGACCATCAAACTTGTTAGAAGTGTTCAAATGTTATAATTTGTAACTAATACTAAGTTTTGATGATTAAATAACTTTGTAATATATCTTCCAAAATTTGATGTTATTTTTAAATTTATTTTTACTATATTTTCTATATATTATCACGAATAAATTCAATTTTGTTAAATCTTCCTCTTGAAGGAGTAGCTACGAATTTGCCATGGAGCAAATAACTACAAAATTTGTTCCGTAAAATAGTTATGAAATTTTCTATGGAATTATGATTATGGAATTTGCGATGGTAAAATAGCTACAAAATATGGTTATAGAAATTGCTAAGGAAATATGGCTACAATATAACATTTAAACATGTCTTTAAAGATTAAAAACATTTTTAATTAAAAGTAAATGTCCGAAAACTATCGAAAACCTCAAAGAAAAAAAGATTAAAGTAATGCAATGGATTATCACAATCGATACCATTACAATTACTCATCCAATAACATTTATATTTATAAATTTTTAGAGAAAAAAAGTATATATATATATATATATATATATATATATATATATATATATATATATATATAATGAGTGTGTATGTAGTCTTTTCAATAATATAGGTTAAAAATGAAAGGTTTTATTATTATTATTATTATTATTATTATTATTATTATTATTTTGTAAATTGTGATTTTTGCCTAACAAAAAAAAGTTATGACTTTTGTCAACAAGTAAAACTTGAGACTTTTTGGTATTTGTCCAATAATAAATGATATATACATCACCACACAACACAATTGAAAATATTAATCGCCATTATCAATGAAAGAAAAATGAGTATCAATAAACAAATATATAAATGGTTTTTTTGTTATTATTAGATAATTCATAATCGATAAGAATTGGTTTATAAAAAAAACATCATTATTTGTCGCACTCATGCCTCTCCCGCATCAAGTTGACCGCCAGACTGGAGCTTCGTAACATGTTGATGAAGACCTCCGAACTGAGGGTTCGGTCAGTACAAGAGACTACTTTGTCTCCTCGGAAGAAGAATAGCCCCGCTCTCTAGCTGACTGATCCCGTTGATCAAACTGGGAGGGAACGTGTCACATTAGAGGTGAACGATCAGATGTGTCCTCTAATCACTACGATGGACATTGGACATTTCTAACAAGTTTGATGATACAAAAATATATCTAAATTTGAAAAAAAAAAAAACAAATAGATAATTAGTTAATTACCCTCCTGGGCATTATCCCAATTGAATTTGTTACATTGATGCTACATAGATATCAAGTAAATTGTAGCCTACAATAGTCGAAAATAATTATAACATTTAAATACTTTATAATAAGTTAATTGGACAATCATATAAAAAAAATCATTTAAATATAAACAAAATTAATAGATAATTACTATTCTAAATCATTTTCCCTTAAAATTTGACAAGTCACAGTTAAGTTTATCAAAATACTTAGTTTTAATCGAGAACTTCATTTCTGGTGCGGCCTATTGTTTCTGTCTTTAATGCAGCTTCTTCGAGAATTTTCATAGACCATGTCATAGCAAGAAAGAAAAACATTTTAAAGTGGAATTCTTTACTGCATAAAAAATTCAACTGATTATGTAAGATACATACTATTAATAGAAAACAATTACACGTGTAAACATTATTCTGTTCACTGTGGAAAAAAATAAAGGAATCATCTTAAATGATGTTACATCAGCTTCTCTTCAAACCGAGTCATCTCTTACATTCTATTTATGGAAAGAATATAAAGAAAAGATGGATTATGATTTATGCCACATGGCTGCCACAAAGGAAAAATCTTACATCAGAATGAAAGGAAAAGAAGTGGAAATCATTTAATATTCGTTGACAAAATGTGTTGGGAACATTTAGAAATCAAACTTGGGATTCATAAATAAATAACTGATGAATAAATTTTTATTTTTGATTTACCAATAGAAAGATTCCTTGGGATTTATATATTCGGTGTTTTTTGTAAAACTAATAATAAGTCATAGCTTTTATTTTAATCTGTATGTTCGGAAAACTTAACTAAAATCTTTAAAATGTGTAAAATTAAATAAAAATATAACTGTTTAAAAATATAAATATATAAATTATATTTTTAAAGATAATAATGTAAATTTGTTATAATATGTTGAAACTTTATGTTAAGAGGCTACTTAAAGTATGTTTTTGGATAATGAATTTATTGTTTAAAACGAAAATCTAAAAGTCTAATAAAACTTTTTTTTTGGGATATCTTTAAAAGTGAAAAACTAAAATATCTTAGAAGTTCTCAAAAGATCCGTTTCGAATACATTCACAATTACAAGAAAGTTATTATTTATCAAAATAAAT